CTCTCTCTCTCTCTCTCTCTCTCTCTCTCTCTCATTCACTTGCTCTGTAGCTGTTTTATGCTCTTCCTGAAAATGGAAGTGTTACGTTAATGGTCAAGACTTTTGCAAGCTGATAAGCACCATAAATTTACAAAAACTTTGCGATTGGAAAGGTGGCAGAGTTTATGAAGTCTGCTCAGTTATGATAAAACATGCTCTTGACGGTAACAGCAGCAAGGGACCCTTGCTTGAAACTTTTTTTTTTTAAATGTTTAAAATCCAAAGACATAGCTGATTGCTTTTAAATGAAAGCAAATAAATATAATATTAAAAATATTTTTTAATTTCTATTTCAATAATGTCACTCAAAAAATACTGTCATTGGTTGAGCATTTCTACGTTGGGCTGGTCGGGATGATCAAACAAACAGAATAATGTTTGGATAAGGCCACAGTGTTTACATTTTTGGGAGAAAATGAGCTTGTTTTGTTAAAATTCTAAGTATTTCAACTAACATAAAAACACTGAAAAATTACAAAAAACCCATTCATTTTATTAAATGCGTCTCCTCATAAAACTACAAAAAATGGGAAACAAGCTTGTCAAATGCAATAATGACTTTTCCTGAAAACAAGCCAAGCCTTCAAACTTCAGTTTATATAGCAATAGTTTAACAAGAGTGCAGGGATTTTTATGCTAGCAACGATCTGGATTGTGTCAGTTTAATCTCAACAATACTGCATTACCCAGACACATATTTATACAACACCGATAGACACAGAATTTCATACGCAGGTTTCTTCTTCTGTTATAAGGACCAATATTTAGAGCATATGGATAGAACGGAAAAGTAATGCATATTCATGCATAATAAGCATACAGATTATTCCTGGAAACCGAATGGCAAGAGGCCACAGAGACCATAGGTCTGAGCAGAAACAGAGAGCAGTATAAAGGGGAAATGACTCTCAGTTGAGCACAGTGATTGAACACTAATGGATGGTCAGCTGCTATCCATCACTCAAATAAACCAGGGCTCAGACCCAGAATGCCTCTCATCAACAACAAATACTGTAGCACACACTGAATGCAAGGCATGCAGTAATTACACTAATGACATGTGATGAACACAAAAAGCTCACACAGAGGATACGGTCATATCTGAACTGGTCATTCCTATTGCACAGTTTACTTTTTTAACCTCACTCACAGATAAATGAAATAAAACTTCCCTGAACAACCTTCTGTTTGGAATAAACATATTATGCTTTATGACGTAGCTATGTAAAGGTCCTTGGGAGTTGTAAATCTCTGCACCAATAACAGAGATGCAAGATGGCGCCAGTTTGTATAAAACAAAGGAGTGTGAGTCTGCAGAGTGATACGAGAGATATTAAAGTAGCGGCAGTTTCATTTATCCAGATGAGTGGAATGATATTCAGTTTTGCCATGCATGACAACGAGGACTCGATAATAACAAACAAGTATTTCGGAGCACCATGTCATAAAATGAAAAAACATGTGCCTTTTACTTTTTTACATTTTGTTTAGAATATACATGCTATTTAATGGTTTAGGATTACGGTAGTAAAAAAAACCCACAAAAAAAAACCTTTTAGCAAGGATGCTTTAAATTTATCAAAATGACACATTTACATTGATACAAAAATTGTATTTCAAATAAATACTGTTCTTTTGATATTTCTATTCTTTAAAGAATTGAATAATGTATTAACCACCGTATGTATTAACCGAACCGAATAGCAATAACCGTACTTCCTAGTTACGGTTTCCACAAAAATATTAAGCAGCACAAGTTTTCTTTCTTCATCAGCAAACTGAATGATCCTTCAGAAAGCACTCTTTTAAATTCTAATATTAGAATTTTAAAGAATGCTTTCTGAAGGATCATGTGACACTGACGTAATGATGCTGAAAAATCACAGGAATAAATTACATTTTAAAATATATTTTAAATTGTAATATTATTCACAATATTACTGTTTTTACTGTATTTTTCATCAAGTAAATGAGCATTAGAGACTTCTTCCAAAAACATTTACAAAATCTCACTGACTCCAAACTTTTGAACAGTAGTATCATGTTTTACCTTTTGACATTTTAGAAAGAAAAATCTTGTGTTTCTTCAAGTATTTAATGTTGACTAGTATTATTTCTAACATCACCCATGAATAAGTGCATCAGTTTTAATCTCAAGACAACAATTTAAACATATTCTGACTAAATATAAATATATTATATATAACTGACTCTAATGCCATGGCTGTTTTACATAAATGAGTGTTGGAGCTTACACTTTAAAGACAATTTTAGCACCGCTCATGCTTAAGACATCCTTACTTCCTTGTATCCGATATATACAATTAAATACAAAGACCTTGACTGTTTTACTACATGTCTTTGTAAGAGTAAATGCACATTATCTTTGACATAGCCCTGAGATAGAAAATGGCCTTTAACCCTTAATTGGATGGTGTCAAGAATGACAATTTGTTTCTTTATGTGCTAAAATGTTGAGATCCAAGTGCTCTAGTCTTTCAATGACTCAGAGAGGGAGGCATCTCTTCAAAGCATCACTAAAGCTTTGTTCACTCTATGCACTTCATAAAAACCATGTTCAACCCCCCCGGAATCTGACACAGAACAAGACAGCTGCAAAACACCAGCAAACACAATTGGAATTTCGGCACCACATAAAAAAGAGAACATGTTAACACAAAGTAGTCAATCATTTCTTTTGATCTTGCTAAAAAACAGGTTAATTTATTGTTGTCTAATAAACATCTCTGAATATATAGCCTATTTTATCTCATGCATTCTCTTTAATAATGTACTAATGATGGATTCAACCAACTTGGAATAGTAACTCTAAAATGGTCCAAACTAGATATCCTGTATACCCTTACGAAAAAGAAGTTTATTCAAGTGTGCTATTAGTATACTTCTTTTAAATTTTATACCTTCAGTCTACTTTTTATGTACTTCTCAGAAATATACTTCAAATTGCACTTAAGTGTACTTGACTTATGACAGAAAAGTCTAAGTATTTGGCCTATACTTGTTGATCGAGATATACTTAAAAGCATAATTAAGTATTCTAAGTATTCTTGGCTTGTACTTGTGCTTACTATTTTGATTGAGTAGCTTATTAAATACTTTTAAAAAAAACATAATATTACACACGGTCTTATAAACTAACATGTTCAAGTTTATAGTAACAAGCTTTCGGGTGGAATAGCTTATAGAGTAAATAAAATAAGCATGCTGAACCTGATCTTGTACACAGTGATAATCAATAGTTAGTAGTTTTGATTATCTAATTATTTAAAGAGATAAAATTCTGCAGAAGCAATAAGTGGTGCACATTTACAAACACTGGGAACAGTTATGGATAATATTACACAAATAAATGCACCAAAACAGACCTAATCCGTTCATTTTAGACTACTGATCTTATTGTATATTTGCCCTTGTTTCAATTGAAAAAGCAGATAATGTAAAGCAGGCAATGTCCTGAAAGAGTGTTTTAAGTCAATTTTCTTAAAAAAATATTTTTTCTCTGTCAAAAATAAATATTTTTGGATGGATGGATGGATTATTTTTTTTTTTTTTAAACAAATCACAGGAAAAAACACCTTTTGGGGGGAAATAGTGAAATTAGTACATTAAAGCACCTAGTCAGATTTGACCACATCAGTTTGTGACTTACTTTATTATCAGTGTCCGTTTCTAAATCAGCAACAGCAGTTAAAAGGCTGAAGGATGTGATGAGCTACACTACAGATTAGGTCAGAACTCCAAAGGTGTGCAGGAAAGGAAGTCGAGGAGGAGGAAAGCAGGAGGTCAGCACAACAAGGAAAAGCTTGAATAGTGGTCAACGGAAGAGAGGATAATTACGCAAAAGAATAAGAAAAAAATAAGAAATACTGAGGAAGTTCAGCACAGATGGGGAGATAAAAGGGTGAGGGAAACAATGTATGACTAAAACCTTAAACGTCTGTTAACAGATGCTTCTGAACAAAGAAAATGCCATTGGTGCAGGGGATGCAGTTCCTTCCTTTCCTTGTCGATCCTCACATCTAGTTATACAAAATGTAGTAGGCCACTCCATCATATATTCAACACAGCTCCAAAACACATCTGCAAGCTATGATCCAGTGATTCACTTAATACAAATGAGATAATCTCGTGGTAAACAGTCTTAAAATAACGAAATGTTATCTAACAACAGACCGCGTGAAGGCAATGACATAGACCTGCTACTGTGTCTGCCACAAAACTCCTTTCACTGCTCGGACTGAAGTTCCTCCACTTAAGAACATCTCCTCCTCACATCAGGCTCCTTCGCTTATCCATAATGCTACAATAACATTGTTTTACCCATAAGTCACAACACTGTGTCTTTGTCTACTAAATTAAAATGCATAAAAATGAGGAGTGTTACAATGTAAAAAAAAATGGCAACCTTCAAAAAACAGTTTAACAATTAAATAATACATTCTATTATAAATTAAATTATATAATAAATTAAATAAAAGAGGATTTTAAAGGTCATTAAAGTTCATTTCACATTTTTGGCCAAAGAACATCAAGGTGAAATACTCAATACTCACTAAAGACTGCTTAAGTTGCAATCAGCAAAATTATTTCACTTTCTTTTCATTCAAACCTGCATGTGGGGTGATGTTAACATTTTGTTGAATCATTTCTTGCAACGTATTTGCAAACTTTACATTTATATAAAATAATATTAATCACTGAAGTATTCTGTAACCTTGTTTATGATCTGAAGCATAAATTAATTTGCTTTTGAAAACCATTAGTTTAAATTACAATCATATAAGAATTTTAATAGTTTAATAATTTTATCACCCCAGATGCAGCATGAATTGTGAATGCATTACATGTACTACAATGTTCTCATTCAATTCTCATGAACGATGAAAGCATCTCACCATTTATGTTGTAAACTTTCCCGCACAATTGAAACTTTGACTTACTTTTGCACGCGAGGACGATCAGTCCCACGACCAAGGGCGCGATATAACGGAGGGTCATGTCTTGCTGATCCGAGGTTTGATGTAAGGAGATTGTGCGCGCTGGAGAGCTGAAGTGTCCTGTAGATCATCAGAGAGGGCAGATGTTTGCACAGAGAGCTCGTGAAGTGCGGAGAGATGAGTGGGAGGAACCTAGTGGGCTGCGCCCTTCATGCCACACTGCAACACTAACGCACATGAAACACGGACATTAGCAATAGTCACGATTTAAATCGTTAATATATGCTTGTCATTTCAGCTTTTACATGTATTGTTCTGGAAACTATATGTATACATTTTGTGAACCCTTCAGAATTTCCCATATTTCTGCATACATTTCACGTCAGGTTGAAGAAATTTGACCCATTCATTTTCAAACACTGCTTCAATTCAGTGATGTTGTCTGTCTCCCTGCATAAACTGCTTTCTTCAAGTTCTTCCACAACATTTCTGTTAGGTTAAGGTCGGGACTTTAATTTTGCTATTCCAAAACTTCTGCTTTTACCATTCAAGATTTATGTTTTCAGGGTTGTTTTATGTTGACTCGTTGTGCTACAGTTCCAAGACTGACACCCTTGACTTTGTGATGCAGCTTCTCTTTAGCTTGAACAATATTGGTATGTCACTGACATGCCAAATGGCAATATTAGAGGTTTTTTTTTATTATTAATCCATATTGGCCGAACTTGGATTTTGCTTATTTAAGGTACAGGCTTATTTCACTTATATTTAGATCTTTAAAAACACCAATAAAAAATAAAATAATAAAAAAGAGTTTTTATTTATTTAGACTAAATATAGAATATTCATATTGATATATTTAATATTCATATGAATATATTCCATTTTATTATATTCATGATAATTAATTTTATATGAATATTTAACTTTTATCGGCTATAACATGGAAATGATCAATGGTTTATATCAGTCCAAAACTGTAATTGTATTTTTTTTAATTCATGCATACCATTTTTGATCAACTGTCTGAAGACTCTTATAGTGCTTAACACTAAGGCTAAGCAGAAGCAAAGATCTCCTGGAATATTCTTGCATTTTGCATCCTTTACATTCTTGCAAGTTTTATATTTATTCAGAAGGGCATGACTTAAACTCACACATGATTTTTATCCCAACAAAGATATTCCCTCATGGATCATTTTGTTCAATAAATTTGTGAAAAAAAAAAAAAAAAAAAAAAAAAAAATTTGAAATTGGATTTTCTTTATTTAGTTAAATTAGTTAAAGATCTGATGACAATGCAGGTCATATTAATGCAAAAATATGGGTTTTCTTAGATAATGCATTGCTGTTTGGGTGAGAGATGTGGGGCTTTGTATGTCTCCTGAAGTTTCTGCCCAATATTTGTTGACATGCAATCTAAATGCGTTAGCAATAAACCAGATATTTATTCAGTCGATGGAGCCTGAAGTCTTTCTATATTTATCAACAGTCATTATAAATGCTATTCTTCTTGATAATGAGCCTTTTAGTTGGCTTTTTAAATAGTTTCTAAATTGACTTTATTTGAACTGTCTACCATTAGTGGATGAAAAACAGATTCAGAGAGCCTGTAATCTGATCATCCATCCAATGATCTACTGCTATAACTAACAAGGCAAACCAAGGAATATGTATTTGAAAATAGGCTGAAGATTTCCTGTGGGACTACAGTCAAGAATCAATTTGACATGGTTTATCCCCTCACATGACCAACCCAGTCAAATCTCTTTTGAGATAAAAAAAAAAATGTTGGTTGAAAGCTCAGTATGAAAGAATATAGTGAAGGCAGCATTCGTCAAAGTAATATAGGCAAGTTGTTGGCTGTAATTTGTGAGTACGATGTTGACAGCTGTGTTCTGGCAACCTCTGGTAATGTTTGTTTGCACACCTGGAGGAGAGTGTGGCGGTGCTCTGTTGACTAAAAACAAGAGATGCAGATCTTCAGTTGGTCACATTTTATATCACTTCATAAATCAAAGTAAAATTTTGTACAAGATCTGTGACAAGTTGTCAAATTCTAATTACTTTGGTTGTTTTAAGTCTAATCTAATCTAATAGAATAGAATAGAATAGAATAGAATAGAATAGAATAGAATAGAATAGAATAGAATCACTTAAAATGAATGAAACTCCAAATAACACAATATCAAACCTTGCATTATTTCAAGAAAGAACAATGGCTGCGTCCGAAAGCTGAAAAATGCTGCCTTCAGAGGATGCATTCAAAGGTAGGAAGGCATCAAGACATGTCTGAATCCAATGTTAGCGTCACTTCCTGTCTCCTGAGATACCTTCATCCAATCGATTTTTTTGTGTGTAAATGTACATTTTTGGCCAACGTTTTCCACTTCTGATGTCACTTCTAGCGAGAAATTACTATTTGAATATTTGCTTAGTTAACACCAAAGCTTGCTCTATTTGCTGTGAATCCTTAAACCATTACACTGCCTCAGAAGTCTGTCCGAAATCAGTTTTGTGGTACCTTCGTGCACAAATGCTGCCAAGTCATTGCCTGAAAAGGCTGCGAGGCAACAAGTCAGCTGCCTATTTTTTTGTACATCCTTCTAGACCAATAGTTCCAAAAAAAAAAAAAAAAAAGCATTATCCATGCAAAGAAATTCATGCATTTTAAGCATTTTGAGGCTAAAGTACCATTCTGGGTTTCTTTTACAAATGTAATATCAACTGGTTTTAACAAGAAATATATAACTGTGGTATTCACTAAATGAAATACATTTTTTAAGGACTATCGTTGTGTGAATGATCATTATGTTGTAACATGCCTCAAGATAAATACAAAATTTAGACAAGCTTATGGGGCACGTCTCTCTTCTCAGTCCATTAAAGGTGGATCATGTTTGACATGCTCTGCTTAACACAATGTGTTCTGCAATTAGAACCATTCACATGACTGAATGAAGAGTGCAAATCCTGTTGTAACTTACAATAGAAAATGGGTTGTGATTTGACTGATGACAACGCACCACAATGATTAACATCTATACATTGTCTTACTTTCTTGAAGTGGTGGAAAGAACCCTTTCCTTCAACGACAGGAAGAAGGAAAGAGGTCATTCTTTCCATTCTGAATGCTGGGGGATGTTTTTCTGGAGTTATCTGCTTTCATGAGAGGGACTATTGTCTGTTATACACAAGGGGGGTGGCTGTGAACGTCTGAAGAGTGAAGGGGCTCAAGGGCAGGGATCAGAAGACATTTAGGGTCCTATCTCTGCAATAGAGTCTTCACAAAACAGGGTTTGTTTAAAAAAAACTGACATCAGTGGTCTTCATCAAAAATGCTGTTTCTGTGGTGATAGGAAGAATTTATATATTCTGACTTTTAACTATATTTAGATTTACATATGTATATTCAGAGTTATAACTATATATTCAGATTTACACATGTATATTCAGATTTGCAACAATATATTCAGATTTACTTATTCAGAGTTATAACTATATATTCAGGCTTTACATATATATTCAGATTTACATTTATATACTCAGATGTGTAACTATATATTCAGATTTATATTTTCAGAGTTATAACTATATATTCAGGCTTATAAATATATATTCAAATTTGAGTCTATATTCAGATTTACATTTATGTATTCACAATTTACATATAATTATTTCCAGTTTGGCCCCCCATAATATATATATATATATGTATGTGTATATATATATAAATATATATATACATCTTCCAATCAACACTTAAGCTAGTTTAAAAGAGAGAATATAAATGTAATATGTATGTATAAATATATATATATATATATATATATAGAGAGAGAGAGAGAGAGAGAGAGAGAGAGAGAGAGAGAGAGAGAGAGAGAGAGAGAGAGAGAGAGAGAGAAAGAGAGAGAGAGAGAAAGAGAGAGAGACATAGATGAGTATATATATATATATATATATATATATATATATATATATATATATATATATATATATATAGATGAGTATATATATATATATATATATATATATATATATTATCTCTCTAACATGGTGGCCTGAAATAAATATGTTAGTCTTTGTGGGCTTGCATGCATATCTCAGAAACTTTTGCAGCACTAAGCAGCATTTCCTTTGTTTGGGATAGGAATCTGATGGTGAAGGATCACGCACTGGTAAAAATTACATTACTGGGAAGGCAAATTTTCACAGACTAAGAATATAAACCCAAGGGATTGTAAAATTGAACATTTAAATATTTTCTCTTCCCCTTTCATGCTCCCTTCCTATGCTTCTTTTTAAACTCACTCAAGTGTTGAACTTGGCTGGAGCCTGTGGGCTGCTGTGGTATGTGAGGTCATAGCCTAGGTTGTGACCAGACTGCACACCAGTGGTTTCTTCTGTTGAGAGTTTGTGTTTTCCCATAGAAGCTTCTGGATTACAGTCTGTCTCTAACTGAATGACTTTTAATAGTTCTCCTCATATTACTTTTGATAAACTTCCTGACTCAACACAGCACCAGATGCAAGTTATCAGTCTTATTAAGTTCGAAATCTGGTTACAATCATTAAAATTTCACCTTAATTGAATTCAGTAAAATTCACCAAAAATCACATACATAAAAAAAACACACACAAAAAAAAGTTAAAAGCAAACCTTTAACAAATAACAAATAAATAACCTTTAACAAATAACAAACAAATAAACATGAGAATCTTTTTCATAAACTGTGAATATCTATCTATCTATCTATCTATCTATCTATCTATCTATCTATCTATCTATAAATTACAGGAAGGTCTGTCTGTCTGTCTGTCTGTGTGTCTGTGCGTCCGTCTGTCTGTTAAGGCCAATTTATACTTCTGCGTCGGGTGCGCGCAGTAGGTACGGCGTAGCATACGCACAGACGCGTACCATACGCCGTACCCTTCGCCGTAACCTGACGCGCACCTCCTCAAAAATGTAACTACACGTCGCGACGACGCGGACCGCAAGATCTGTGATTGGTCGGCTTGGGAGCATCGCGTTTCCTCCTATGTATTTCCGGCGTGTTCTTCTGCACCGCCCGCCATTTTTAAATTCTAAGTACAGCGAAACTGTTAAAAAAAATTTAAAAAAAATTACCTTTTCCACCTCGATAAGCTCCAACTCCAACATGATCTGCTCTCTTTCAGTCGACATTGCTTGTA